GGAAGTTGGAGCTAGGGTTAATGAATTTTCTATGTAGGGATAAATAATATCACCTGAATGAGTGGTCGTAGTTCATATTTTAAGTATCAATAACATAAGAATTATATAATTTAAATTAATAATATAATAATATTATTAGGATTCTGATGAAGATAATGAGGATAATTTATTTGGGGACGATGATTGGGAAATTTCATTTGATGAAGTAGACGGTAAGCAAATCTATTTTCAAATGTGTTGAAAATAAGTTAAACAATATGCTAATAATAATATAGATCATATTTCCGAATTCCAGGAAGATGAATTTGTGCGCGAGGCATTTGCAAAGGTGATATACGGACGGTTTTTCATGAATTAAATCATACAAGTGAAATAACTCTTTATTACCTTTCTTTTAGGGCATGGATTTGAGAGAATATGCACGAAATATAGAAAAAGAATTGAGTGGAATTGAACGGGAACATGAAATAGATTGTATCCTTCTAATGATTTAATGATGATTTAAAAATCTATTTCTTTATCAGTAGACACATAATATCTTTGACCATTTATATGGAATAGATATTAATCAGGCTAAAAATTTCATAGAACTTCATAATCAAATCCAGGTAATGGATTAATAAATATTTATGATTTAAGAATATTTGAATTAAAATCTAAAATAATATATATTTTTTTTAACAAGTCGTGCGACCAAACTCTGGCAACGATGGAAAATATGCTGAGTGTTTTTCAAATGGATTTGGGAAATATTAGTACAGAAATCCAAACATTACAAGATAAATCATTTTCAATGAACATAAAACTCAAAAATCGGACGGTATATATTTTTTTTTAAAAATTCGTATTATTTCTATAACAAAGTAAAAATTAAAAAAAAAGTTTTATTATTTTTATAGGCTGTGGAAAAAAAATTAAGCTCTGTTCTGGAAGGAACTGTAGTATCACCGTCCATGATCAAGTAAATTATTGTTTGAAAATGGGATTACAGAATTAGTACAAACATTAGTTAATATTCTTCATAATTCGTTAGGGTAATTACAGAGGATGAAGTTGACGAAGCATGGCTAGCATATTTAATGGAACTTAATAAAAAAATGACCTACGTGAAAAATGGTCAAACCAATAGCATTAAGGCGATTAGAGATATCGGTCCAGAAATGGAGAAATTGCGTTTAAAGGTATTGTTAATTTCAAAGAAATTGATATATTTATTAGTGAAAATCTTTAGAAGTTTTTGGTAATTTTAATTTAGGCAACAGAGAAAATTCGTGACTTTCTTTTAAATAAAATAAGGTCACTCCGTATACCAAACACAAATGTTCAAATTTTACAACAATCCGTTTTGCTGAAATATAAAGCGCTTTATCAATTCGTGATAGAACGATATAGTGATGTTGCATTTGAGATAATGCATAATTATATAAATACTATGAGGTGGTACTTTTTTAATCATTTTGAACGATACAATCGAACTTTGCAAAAGCTTCAAGTGAGTTATATTTCCTTTCTTGACATTTATATTTTATTTTATTGATTTATTTTTGTTTCTTTTGATTAGAATCCAATTGGAGATAAATTTACATTGATTGGATATGATGAAAATACCAGAAAAGGTATTAATTATTATCGAATTGAATTAAATTAAATTTAAATTAAAATTTAATAATACTCTTAAGTATTTTGTAAAATAAATTTTATTATTTTTTTCTAGGTGGCTTATTTGGATCTGGCAAAATCGCTTTACAAGACAAAACAAATATGTTTGCATTAGGTGATAGAATTGATACGCTTCGTAATCAGGATGCCGGTGTAATCTTAGTTCATGTTGCTGAGAATAAGAATCAGGTATCTTTGTAAGATGTAAATGTGCAGATATATCGGATGTATATAACAAAAATAACATTTACTTTTGTCATGTAGAAATATCCATATGAAGCATTATTTAGGAGCTTTAATTTGACATTTATCGATAATGCTAGTTCGGAATATCTTTTTATTGTGGAATTCTTTGCCAAAGATGCCAAACCAAACGTTGATTGGGCAAAGGATATCTTTGCTGAAATTTTTGATACAACCATTAAAATGGGTTTAGTTCGTATATATATTTGTCTTTAATAAGCTTTGTTTTTTTTTGATACCAATTTTTTTTATTAATGAGCTTTTTTTTTTTATGGGATAGAATTCCACCAAACAATACGTTGAAACTACTTACGATGCCATTGGCATACTTCTTTGTATTCGGCTCAATACACAATTTGCGTTAGAATTGCAACGAAGACGTGTTCCTGCTCTTGAAGGATATACCAATCAAACGAATATGTTATTATGGCCGAGATTTCAAGCCATTATGGATACGCAGATTGAAAGTGTAAAAAAGGCTACAAATAAATTAGTTGTTAAGGATGTTCATCCACATCATGTAAGTAGTGATAATCTATATTTTTTATTATAATATTCTATAATTTACATAAATCTCGTGATCTTTACAGATAACACGTCGTTATGGAGAGTTTTCAGCATCTTTATTAATACTTAACGAAGATTATAATGATTCAATTTTATCGAATAACCTATTGAGATTAAGAAATGAAGTGGAACAATTTCTTGAAAAAACAGCAGAGACTTTTGATGAACCTAAAAATAGTTTGATATTCCTTATTAATAATTATGATTTGATAATTACAATTTTGGGAGTAAGTGTTTATATTTTTAAATTTATTTATTAATTAAACTTTTCATTGAGCAATCAAATGTTAATCTTTTCATTTAGGAAACTGGAGGGAAAGCGATTGAGGCTGAGGTCAATCATTTCAAAGAGCTTTTGAATAGTAAAATATCAGGATTTGTGGAAAAAGAATTACAACCTTATTTTAGCAGTTTAATTTCTTTCAATAAGCAAGTAGATCAAGGAAAAGATATTACTACCATTGACTCAGGTATGTTAATTAATTAATTTATTAATTTATTTTTATACTATTAAATTTATAAAAACTTCAAATTTTTTTTATGCACTAAATGACATAAAATTAGATGTCTTTGAACAAATTTCTTCAGATTTTGCAGCGACTTGGCGTCAATCCATAACTTCTATTAACACATCAGTGATTCAACATTTTACGAATTTTAAGAATGGTACATCTATCTTACACGCAGTTTTAGGACAATTAATAATTTATTATACAAGATTTTGTAATATTCTTGAAGAAAGAATGAATGATGGCAGTGTAAGGATCAAGCACCAACCTGTTGGAGTACAGAGTGTTATGGTAGAGATAAAAAAGTTTCGAAGTAATTTTTAAATCACGTGATATACAAATTTAGTGTTATATACAAAAAAGTATAATTATCCGGTAATACGTAATGTACATCATGGATACATTATTTTTCATGATGATGATCAATTTTAAGAATTGAGCGTGAAAAAATTAACATTTAAAGAAATAAAAATAATGAATTGGAGAGGGAAATTATCCTGCGATAGAAGCTTCAAAAACTTCAAATAATTAAAAATTTAAAAATATATTATGTGAAAATTTATTATAGTATTTATACTTGCGAATATAATAAATTTCATTGTCTTAAAATTATGTAAAGAATCAGTAAATGAAAAAATTAATACGTTATTAATATTATTAACTGTTAATAGTTAATAACTTCAATCATCGCTAAAATGAATTAAATAAACGATTTAATAAAAGTTTAGTCCACCAATATCTCAGCAATTTTTGAGAAAATATAAACGCAATCTTGTACTAATTAGCTGCGCCATATATTATTAAGTCGTTATTAGATTTGATCAATCAATTAATAATCATTATCATTATCGTTATTAATTATTGAAGTCCCATTAGGGATGTTAATCAGTCTTTTGGGACCGAATCCTTACAAGGATCTGCAGGATCGGTAAAGACTCGGTCCTTAAATCACATGAAACCACAATACTGAATGACGTTAGTAGCTCACCCACAAAAAATTTTCCGGTCATGTGACTTTTTTATGGTACTAGCCAATTATTTTTCGAGATCAGGTGTAACGTGAAAATCAAAACAATCAAAACAATCGAATAAAACAAAAGAAT